CGTTATTTCAGTAACAATCTCTCTACGGGATCGGTAGATTTAGACCAATACTACGTAACCAAACAACAAAAAATTAAGAAAATAAATAAAATTATGCCTCTTTCATTCTAGAATGACAAATTATAATACAAAATATAAATATTTAGACTAAATAGCTTAAATCTCATAACATTATACATTTATATATATTTATTATTTTTATTATATTGAGCTTTCAGACATGCCTAGCTAACAATATAGAAGTTACAATAATGCGGCACATGTGCACTCATGTTACCGTATCCAATAATATAAAACTGACCTTTAGTCTTTACAAAGTGACTTGTCTTGGCTGTGGTTTAGTAGACTAGTATTTTGTAAAATACAGTAACATTTCAATTATTATACATTATATATGTATATAAATTATTGCTATTTAGAAATAAGTTCTTAAACTTATTTTTCTTAAAACATAGAACAGTAAATAAATAAGTAAGCAAACAATTATCTCTTCTAGTTACAACCTTTGCTGCTTGATGTAGGTTGCTAAGCCTTTTAAAATTTAACACGTAGAGGATATAAAATGAAATAATTTTTTTTAGGTCTTATATATATACAGTTGAATAACCAAAAAACCATAAATTACTATATCAATTCCACTGAATTCCACTATAATTTACCAAGCTTAGTAACTAAGCTGTATTTCAGTCTAAGAAAAATATTAAATTTCGAGCAGACTAAAGACACAACCTACCTCCTTGAAATCTTAGTTCAAAAGAATGAGATGGTGTCCTAACAATTTAAAATGACTGAGAAAGCCACTAGGGGGACATTCTGAGCTTTCAACTGGTTATTCATGTCATATATAGAAGTGTATATAAGGGAGTGTTTCCAAAATTGGAAAGAGGTGGGCAGGGAGCCACTGTATTTGATTTATTACATAAGCAATATCTTAGCAAACTGAAAAGATAAGAGGTTCTTATTTAATATTCTAACTTGTCAATATCAGTAATTTGAGTTCCTAATTCATACGAAACTATAGACGTAGTATTTTGACATCAAAAACATCTAATTTGAACTAGTGCTGCATTAACATACCACGTGACACACAAAAATTGATGTTTAACTGTTTTCTTAATGTTTAGAAAACTGAGTAATGTATAATACTAAAATTTGGATTATAATCTACAGTTTGATACCAAAGTTATTGACATAGATTCATGAAATAGTAATTCAATAAAATTTTGAATGCGAGTCAACAAACGAGATGACATGGCCTTTGACCCGTGTGGAAAGGGCTAATCAAGTGTCATACTTCATTTTAAGCTAGGAAGCAGTTTACATCCAAAAAATAACTGTCTCTCCAAATTCCTTGCAGTGACACATATTGCCCCCATTTTAATGAAATCAATAACTTGATGGGCTTATTACAGAGGAAATGAAGATTTACCTACAAGAAATGAGACTCACCAGTGGATGGAGATAATACAGCAGAATTAAATCAAGGTAATTATGTGTCCATACCAAACTAAATGTAACTATAAACAAAAATAAAAGTTGAAGAAAAAACACACCCACCAAACAAATTAACCACACACTTCTTACATTATTTTTACATTAATACCAAATAGATAAGAGTACACTTATCACTCCTCAGAGGCTCAACAGTAAGTTTAAGGACTTGTAATGCTAAAAACTGGGCTACAATACCCACATTTTTTAAACTTCTGAAATAATCTACACTATCACAGATGATTCACAACAATTTTAAAAATATCAAAAACAGGCTATTGCAAATTAATGTTTTTGGATTGATAATAAAAGCAATATTTTTAATTTTATATTTGAATTATTAGATTCTGAACCCTTGTCACTGTTTAGTAACAACATTATGTGAGAGAGAATCTTCTTTTACTTGATTTAATTTTCAAATATTTTTCTGATAATATTCAGAGGCTTTATACATGTTACCAATCCAGTACTCCAAAACAACTACATGTGTTATGTTTAATGTCCAAATGAACAGTTTTGTTACTGTTGTTCATGTCACATCAACAGTGATTAACCTCAAATTACTGACTTGCTCTTATGTCATTCACCATTGGTAGAGTCCACATATGGCATCATTTTAATTAGATATATGTTTTTTCCTCTTACAGCACTCAAGAAAGCACTAACCAAAAAAAATAAGTGGAGTCATTTTCTACACAAAACACATAGGGAACCTTATCAGGTAATTAGTGGGATCAATGGCAATATTGATAATAGTTTTGTTTAAACTTTTGTGTGGCTTATTATGGCCCCTATAACCAAAAAACATATGGATAGGAAGGAACTAAAGCAATTTGGTGAATAATAAATAGCTTAGAAAAATGTATTTAAATATCTGATGAAATCGCTGCTTCTGGTAATCAAAACAAGTAGTTCACTATATTCTTGATAAAATGAAAACACAGAACTTACTGGGCTTCATTGAACTCGAAGCTTGCTGCTTCTATCCGATTTCTCAGAGCAGCTACTTCACTGTTTAACATTAAATCCAAGTGTGCCAATTCATTCTGGATTTCAGATAGTTTCTGCACTTCTGCTATAGTCTTACATTTTCTGTATCAATGAAAAAAATATTGAGGTTTCTTACAAGTATCTTGAAAAGATACTTTTGATTGAAATCCTTTTAAAATTAAGAATTTTAAGATCCAAAAACTATTCAATATACTAGAATAAAATATTTATGAAAAGTACCTTCAAAAGGAACTGTCTTTATTATAAATCAAGTTTTACTTTAATACCATATACAACAAATATAACTAATTTTAAAATTTCACAATAAACTGAAAACCTCATGTTTCAGTGTGCAGAAGTTGTTCCATTTTTTAATTACCTTTTCAACATTAATTATACTTTAAAACAAAGCAAAAACTTTCATCCCTTTCTTTTAGGTGATAATAAGAATTAATTAAGTATATAAGAATTAATTAAGTGATAATAAGAATTAATTAAGTATACAAGAATTAATGAAATAATGTGGTTCAAATATTGCTTTTAATTACAGAATTTGGAGTCTCATTATTCTTACTGAAATATGACTATCTGGTTTTGAATAAATGTTTCTACTTAGTATTATTATTACTTCATAAGCGATATTTATATAAATACATAATGACAAAAAATACTGACATAAAACATTAATTACAGCTCTATGAAAATTCTTTAAAATCACCAAAAACATTAAATTCAAAACTGTGAAAATGCTTAGTGATTTACGTCACTAAAGATATTATATACTAGTAACTGCCAAATGCTTATTTATAAAAGTTTACCAAATGTATAGAAATTTTAGTTTTAAATTTTAATTCTTTTCTAAATTCAGCTCAAAATATAGAAATATGGGTTTTTCAGAAAACGTAATATGCTTATTCTTTACCAAAACGCTTTCAAATGTTTCAATGCATTGTGTTTCCCTGTTATCTCATTTATTATTTCCTATTGTTTTTTAATATTAATTTTACTGTAGATTACTTTTGTTCATACTACTTTATTTTGGTTTGTTTAATTAACCTACTTAAATAATTTCTATAATTTTTAAATCAACCAATTCATTATAGGTTGGTAATTTTTTTATATTTCTATACATTTTATTTCTATGTTGAGTAGATTTTAATAATCCATTTATCATCCATGGTTTTAACTTTTTTTCTCGCTATTAAATTCTACATACCTCATAAGTGATTCAATTATATTTTCTAATTTTGTAATAAAATATTTATATGCATCTTGTATGTTCAACTTTTGAAAGATACTACTAAAATCAATTATTTGTTTTCGTATCAATGTTTTTTATAATTTATTCCTACTTATTCATTATTATACTTAATTTTATTCATTAAATGAGTTTTTTAGAGCTGTGGTAAAGTAGTCTTGTTATCCTAGTATTTAAGACTGCTGTTTGTATAGAATCTATTTTATCTGTTCAAATATAAGTATGATTAAGACATGCATTTGACTGTTCTCTAGTAGTAGTTTGAATACAAGGATAAAAGCCAAAAGCAGCTAACATTTTATATTCTTTTAAATCATTCTCTTCAGATACAATATTTATATTTGTCTCATACAATGTACACATTTTTCATTTTATTGTCACTTAAAATTGTTTAAATTGTTTAATATAATCTTGTATATTATATTGATGAGATCTATAAATTGGTATAACACTGAATTTTTTTTATATGTGCATTGTATGTTTACTACTTCAGCTGTATTAAATTCAACAGGTTCTTCTTGTGCATTTATTTCATTGCTTACAAATACTAAAGTACCTCCAGATTTATTATAATCTCTAACTGTATAGTATTTTTATACCCCTTTATATTATATAAATTTAGTCTTCATTTTTGACCCAGATTTCTGTAAGTACTATGGTATGTATTTTCTGTGGAATTAACTGTAGATAAATAAGAAAAAAAAATCAAAATTCTTATTTAGACTACATATATTCATTTGTATTACATTAATCACTTCTCTGTACCAGAAAAAACCCAGGGAACAAACATTTAACATTCACACACACCTTTCTATAACAGCTTTAGCCAATAAAGCTTTACGGCAGGCATTTTCTTGCTCCAGTTGCTTCTGTTTTTGTTTAACAGCCTCCAGAGTCTTTACATCATTTCTACACCAAAAATGAGTAAATATAGTAACATCATAAAAGAAATTATATGCATCAGTTCTTTTAAATTTTATATCATAATAGTTACTGCACTTTAAAAATGTTATTCTTGCTACTGTAGTAAATTAACTGCAAGGTTCTACTGAATCATTATTATAACTCAAGAAATCAAGTCCTCAGCACTTCATAATGAATAAACTGTCTTAACCTGTGATATACCTACAATATTAGTTTACATAAAACTTTAAAACACTGACTGAAAACTGTTTAATTACTATAACAAAGAACTTGGTTGTTTATTAATTTACTCAGCAATCTACAATACGGTTTATACATGCACATACATTCTAATTAGTTGATGATGTTATCTTTAGTAGAGGAAATCTGATGACATGTAAAGAAAATGGGCAAGTTTCATGTGTGTGTGTGTGTAAGCACAATGACCATATATACAAAGTAATTAACAGCACATACAAAGTAATTCAAATCCACAAGGGACTTCCTGATGTGATGAAACAATACCTTTATACAGAAGATTTTCCCTTCTAGTCTTCCTGCCTTCAGAAGAGTATGTGTAATAAATTATTAATAATAATAACAGACTGATGACACGGTATATGAATTATAGATCGTTGAGGAGAGTAGCTTCCTTTAGCCTCATTTTCAAATTAAATAAAAAAACTAAAGAAAAATACTCAAAAATGAATTAAATTCTTGACCTAAAATAAGTAATGTTTCACTGACTTCCATCATGCCACATTCCACTTTGAAGAAACATTTTATTCTGGTTAATTGTGTCAGATCAAAACATTTGAAAACAATTTCACTGTCTTTGCAAGGTAAAGGATTGGTTGTTATTTTCTCAATCAGCCAAGTGATATTATCTTTAACTTCACTGATTTTAATTTTACAGATAGTCAAAAACAAGATCTTGATTTTGCTTAACTGCCAAAGAAACTTTAAAAATTTTATTTTCTAGAACCATTTGAGGTCTTACTCAAAGAAATCATCAAAGATAAGTCTTAATATATGTCTAGTTCTGTTTTCCACTGTCACAATCTTTTTACGGAACATTTTTCTGCTTTGTTAGAATTACAAAAGAAACAAGGACATAATCATTTCGTACCCAGACAAAAAAAAATGTTATTATGAATAAGATTAATTTTATCAACATTGTATTATTGTTAACACTATTCAGGAAAAAAATGAGAATTTTTGACTCAAATCTAGGCCTAATATTTGTTTTGCTAAATACCCACAAAGATACTTCATTCAGAAATGTTGTCTTTAATATACAAGCACAAAATTTGGCAAGGTTTTGACAATTTTCTAACTGACTTAACTTCATGACACATTCTTAATAACATCTTCAAGTTATGAACCCTTATCAAAAATCTTATATTTGCTTATAATGTTTTGATGTTATTTCACTGTATACCAACATAACTTTGAATGAAACATTAGACTTAGTCATAGACTGCTTTTCAAAATGCATACACTGCTAATGGTCTCCTCAGATTAGTCCTTAAGAAATTCTAAAAATCACATTTTTAGTTTGTTAAAAAAATCTTTAACCAAACTGATGATCTAGCTATGGGCAGTTCTTTGTTCTTATCATGAGAAAACGTGACTTAATAATTGTCTAGCTGATTTTAAACCATTGTTTTACACACAATATGTTGGCAACACATTTTTAATTTTGCAAACTTGCATTTGGGCTCTATCTTCTTAACTGTAAATTCAAAACATCAAAACATGAAATTCACATAATTTCAAAACCAAAATCACCTTTCCATTCTTAACTTTGCTAATTACAAAGTATGATAAGGCTTTACTGTTGATTGCTATAAGTCCACACTTACTGCTTTAGACTGTAATTTTCAGGCTTATGTTAACTTTATTTTGTTGTTCAAAACGTTGGAGTATTATAATAGTATCCCACCAGTAATGAAATATTCCAATACTTGTACTTCAATATAGATATTTTGCTCACAGCTATGATGAATTCTTCTTCTTAATAATTTATTTTATAATAGTTGCGTAAGAACATGTAAACACATTTAGAGTTTGTTACATCCAAACAATATAATAAATACTATACAATATTTAAAATTATGCAATGCAGAAAAGCTATTAAACATTTAACAAAAAAAACATACCTCATAGGAATGGCAGGCTCATGTTTTTCTTCTTGAGCAGTGGTCTTATGGAAAAGCACAGATTCTCCAAGTTCATCATTATCAATATTTTTATTTATATTCCTTTCTTGATCAACAAAATCAAAAGTCTGATTGTCTGTGTTAACACAAAGGACAGTAGTCATTTTTCATGTTTCTGGAAAATCAGATTTTAGTTTACATGCACATTAATCTCCCGGACAGGAAGGGATGTATTTTCTTTTTTTAAAAAACATGTATTAATCATTGGTTGGCTGGTATGTTCCACAAATGATAAACTATGTTGACTGGATGACATGAGACTGACCAACACTTTTTCTTGATCTACATTTACACTGTAAGGTCCAATAATAAGTTTCTAGTGTTCTTTTACTTGGATTTTTTTTAAATCCATTAATCCATAAATATTTGAAATATGTTTATTTTCATGTTTTGATTTCTCTTTATAAAGGTGGAAGAGATCTCCCTAAAAAAATATATAAACTCGTATGATAACAATGCTGTTTAAAATCCCTAAAATATTTTTAAAAGTTAAAATCTCTCTATAACAGATGTAATTATATATATATTATTTTCCTAAGAACATGCTTTATCAGTATAATCACTAAACTGTTTATTCTTCTAAATCTCATTATGATGACTTTAAAATCTGAAATCCAATGATTACCTGTGCATCCTTTCAATGACAAAATTTGTTAGTGCATATTTCAATGATAAAGTTAAATAAAAATTACCTTCACACTCCAGATAATTATAAAATAACGTTTATTTTAACTGACTTTGTAGCTTCTTCAGGGCTAAAAGATGTCAGTGCATAAATTTCAACAAAGCACATGGAATAATCTCTTAGTACAAAACAAATCTTGGCATGCAAAAAATTTTCAAATATTTTCTAGCATAGGTGTTAAAACCTCTCTTGACACTCATACTGAACACAATATCTGCCTTACAACTGTATAAAAGCTAAGATAAAAACTGAGGAAAACATCCTTTCAAGTTTTCTAACTGACCTTCCAAGTAAGTTTTTAATCGTAGATGAACAATCCTTTTAGTATTAATTTTTCTACATAATCTGATTCTCTCTGTGGAGTGTTTTAAATATAAAGTATAGACTAGCAGCTATAACAATATATTCTTCTGTTATATTTTTAATATAAAAAATATATATAATTTTGCCACAGATTAAACACAACATTAAACTGATAATGATATCAGCATGACTTATTTGTCAATTGTTTATACTACAGTCGTTAAAAATATAACGTCATATCATTATCACATTCATAACCACATCAAATATTATGAAGTTAACTTGGGCTTCCTTAATAAAGTTAACTTTCATTCCACCACGCTAGTCCATGAACTAATTTAACCTCGCCTAAATATCAGTTTAAATACGATTTTTTTTATTTTTTTTTACAATTTCATACTAAACTAATTTAGTTACGTAAGACTACAAGCAAAATATTTTAAAGCAAATAGTTACGGTACTTTCATAAACAACAAATGTTTTGTCTCTTTCGGAAACATACGCAAAGCTACACCTCCATAATTATAAACTCAGAACTAAAAGATTACTAAAGATAAAATAGAATTAATATATATCTTCTAATTCTTTAAAATTCCTAAGAAGGTGGATAAAAAATTTGGTGTTTTTAAAAATGTATTACTAATACTAATAGTGACACTGATAAGCCTAATGCTAATGTTTTAGGACAAGTGTAACAATAGTATAAGTTAACTTATAATTGTAAAATGAAAGTCATCAATTCATAAACATACCAAATCTTCCACAAATTTTCTTTCCTTAACTTCGTATTTGGATTTAATAGAGGCAATTATAAAATATAATATAATTTAAGAATTAATTCTAACTTGCTCTCTCCCTAGATGACTTAGTAAACTCAGCTGCTCAATACGTGATACGTATTAAGTTACCCCGAAGTGTTCACAGGCCAATTGATCTTACTTCGCTCCACTCGTGGTACGACCATTGAGAATACTACACATTAGACAGAGGAGAAGAAACTGTAATGAGGAAAGATGAAATTAAAGATAACCAATAATTTTTTTCACATGAATAAAAGTACAGCTTGTCGACTTTGTAGTATCAAGCTGTACTACATGTTTACCACTCCTTTTAATTTAAAGTTCACAGATTTTTTCTTTCTCTCTGTAGTTGAACATAGCATTGCTGAATCCAGTTCCGAACTTTAACTTTCCCAGGGACTCATTGAGTCAAGTGGATATTAGGTACTTTTGTCTGATATTCTTCCGAGAACAACAACATGCTCTTCAAATAGCACGCCGAATTATTCTTATCAATGAATCAAGCAGTAGCTGCCAGTGATTTCGTCCAGAACTTCACTGCCCGTTTGAAAACTGATTTAATAATCATAAATCACAGTTTTCTTGTGTCCGAAAGTCGAGAGTTTATTGCCATATATTTAAAAAGTTTTGGGGCCTAGGAGAACAAATTTGCAGCAGATTTTACGAATTTTACATGGATTTTCAACTATATATGCTCTAAAGGGATATACATAGATATTTACATAGTGTTATGTCTCTGGTCGTTAGTTGATCTCCCGAATAATTTATTTCCGATGAAACTTTAGCAACACAAGTCCTTTCTTAAATAAAAATAGTTTATTCATTCTCAATACAACTTTGCAATACATTTAATTTCCACGGTCACGCTATAACTTAAACAAACGCTATAATTCACGCGCTCGACTCAAGTGTCCCTCTCTATCTCTGTCTGCAGTTCAATTACATTCCATTGTTGCCGTCACTTCTTACTGGTCTTATATATATGAATACCGCATATCTAGTAAACACTCGAGCATTCACGAACCTTCGAGAATATAGCGTGACTTCCGCTGTCGTAGTCACTTGACTAGTATCACGCCACCTATTTTCTGGAAATATCTTGTTCCTTCGTGAATGCCCTAGCATTTACTAGATATAGGGTAGTCTGGTATATATAAGATGGTCACAACGTGACGAAACAATGTGTGTAGGTAGTGAGTAATTGAACTGCAGTCAGAAAGTACTGTGGAAGTTAACCTTCGTTGTTATAGCGTTTGTTATAGAGCGGCTGTTGAAAATAAGTGTATCGGTAAAGTTATATTCAGAAAGAATAAACCAGTTTTATTAAGTAAGGACTTGTGTCGCTAAAGTTTCGTCGGAACGAAGTTACGGAAAATTAATTAACAAACGGAGACGTAACAATAGAATAACAGAATTAGTTTCATTTAGACTTAAACAATGTCTTTGTAGTATTTCAGTAACTTTAAATTGTACACAAGAACTCTGGAAGCTCTTGCCTTCAACTGCTGGTAACAGATTTGTGTATTTTTATATAGTTTTACTCTCCAAGACTTCTCAAGTTCCCTTGCAATTGTAAGGCTAACTCTCATTCTTATTTAAGTTGGACACCATTTAGATTTTGCCTAATATAATTAAATAGTTTTAAGTTTGCCAGTGAGTGAATTGTGTATAAG